CTTGTTTATGGCAAGATAAGGACATTTTACTGATAACTAAGTAGAGATACTGTATTATTTTGCTATGTGTTTGCATACTGTCTTGTAAAGAAGAAGACTCACCGAATATATTGTTTGTTGTATATCGGTGAGAACAATTCTTCTGTTTTGCTTTGTGTTTTTAATCTACAGAGAATAGAACTATATTTTTGTTTGTACTGTTTGAGTTTTATCACACTGAGAGTAAAAGGGCCTGAGACATTCTGCCGGATGCTAACACTATTCTGACAGTGTGGGGTCCTTCTTTGGAGGCTTTGAAACAGAGGCTGGATGGCCATCTGTCAGGGATGCTTTGAATGTGCTTTTCCTGCTTCTTGGCAGAATGGGGTTAGACTGGATGGCCTACAAGGTCTCCTCCAACTGTAGGATTCTATGATTCCTACAAATCCTAGGCGCATCCTCTTTCATGCGAGTCCCAACTCCAAACAGGCTCCTTTGCACAATTCAAACACTGCAAGCAAATTGCATTGCACATTTAATTTACAGTTGCTCTGGTGAAGAAGAGAAACCATTGGCATAAAAGAAATCAGTCAATGGTATTTTTGTCCCCAATGAAGCGAATCACAGACAAGCTCCAAACAATATCACCTGGAAAGAGGAGTAGCTGAAACTGTCTTGTGAAATAAAGGGTTGCCTCTAAATGCAAGGTTAATCCAACCAAAGTACACACAACAAAAGCAGAGGGGGAAAAGGGGGGGGGGGGGGGAAGAAGGTTCTTCTGACCACTTTTGAACCTGAACTCTACTGGGATGGCTCAGCAGAGCCCAGAACACATTTTTCCTGTATTTGTCCTCTTTCATATCCAATTGACTGAAGCCTTGCCCTACTTGCCTAAGGACAGAGCATTGAGGATAACTTTGCAAAACTCAACCAGCTACAAGGGCAAAACATGTAGTTTCAGGCTTGTTGGATTTTGTGCGCAAAGCCTTTCAAATTCGTACCTCTGAGACAACCAGGACTTTTAAGAGTGACAACACAGAAAGCATAAGAGAACTGAAAGTGAAAGGAACACACGGCACCCAAACATCCCGTTCGCCCAGAGCACGACTGCAAAGGAGTCGGGAATCCATCTGGTTTTCTCTCAGGTTTGTTTTCCAATTCAAATTAAAAGAACGACATATCCCAACTTTTCTTGTGGTTGTTGACATGGTTGCTTTTGCTGAAGCTGGGTTATTGGTATGGTTGCTTTGGAGAGGGAGATGTAAAAGCTTCAATCACCGAATGAAGCACGATCCAGTCCTACCGTAGCTTTTCTAAGGGCCTCCATACCCTCTGCTGGAAGGCTGTTTTATAACTTCTCTCTTATTCAATCACAACATGGATACATCTGCCATCTGTAACAGCACACTAGGGGGACTATTTTTCTGCTGGAAGCACATCGGCTTCACAAAAAGGCAGATTTGGAGCTGTTCCTACCTGGATGCCGACAGATCCTCCGCTTAAAAGCCAGGCAGCTAGTTAAAATCAGAAACAAATGGCCAGGCTGGCTCCACAGGGAAGGAAGCAAATGGCATCAAGGAGCCACATACATCAATGCCCCATGGTGGAGGGAAGGAGATAGAAGGGGCCTCCAAAATGGGACAGGGTTGGGGTGGAGTTGAGAGAGAAGCAGAGCCATTCCCCACATATTATCTTCCCTGTAATAGCAATGCGTCAGAGACAGAAGATGGAAAGTAGATAGAAAGTCAAGATTAAAATGGAGATTAGTTTCTTTCAAAAATAATTTCCGTAACAAGATTATAGAGATGGAGGATCACTGTTCTGGGCGTTGGCGCTCATCTCCATTTCTGAGCCGAAGAGCCGGTGTTGTCTGTAGACACAACCAAGGTCATGTGGCCAGCATGACTGTAAGGAGCATCGTTACCTGATGGACCAATACCTATTGATCTACTCACATTTGCATTTTTTCCAACTGCTAGGTTGGCAGAAGCTGGGGCTAACAGCGGGAGCTCACGCTGCTCCCTGGATTCGAACCTGTGATATTTTGGTCAGCAAGTTCAGAAGCTCAGTGCTTTAACCCACTGCACCATCAGGGACTTACACACACATATAACACCCTGCAGCTCCAATCTCCTTCGAAAATCGAAGCACATTGTCTATCGTGTATGCATTTTCTTTATTACTCATTCCACTGAAAGCCAAGGAGGCTGCACTAGTCTGACAATTGTGATGGTCTGGATGAGGGCTCACAAACTGAAGCTTAATCCAGACAAGACGGAGATCCTCCTGGTCAGTTGCAAGACAGATCAGGGTGTAAGGTGCCAACCTGTGTTGGATGAGATAACACTCCCCCTGAAGCCATAGGTCCACAACTTGAGGGTCCTCATCGTTGACGCCTGAAGCTCAGGTGTCAGCGGGGGCTGGAAGGGCCTTCGCACAGTTAAAACCCGTGTGCCAGCGGTGATTGTGCCTCAAAACGTCTGACTTGGCCACAGTGGTCCACGCCTTAGTTACATCTAGAATGGACTACTGCAGCGCACTCTACATGAGGCTGTCTTTGAAGACAGCTTGGAAGCTGCAATTAGTGCAAAGGTTGGTGCTAACGGTGGCTAGTTTTAGGGAGCACACAATGCCCCTATTAAAGCAGCTCCATTGGCTGCCAACAAGTTTCCGGGCTCAATTCACCAAAAGCCAAGGAAGCAGCCCAAACCCTGAACCAAGGAAGCAGCCCAGATCATGTCGTGGACTGGATGAGGACAAACAAGATAAAGGTCCTCCTGGTCAGTTGTAAAGCAGATGAGGTGGCAATCTGTGCTGGATGGGGTAACACTCCCCCTGAAAACACAGGTCCACGGTTTGGGGATCCTCTTGGACTCATCACTAACCCCGGAGGCCCAGATGTTGGCAGTGGCCAGGAGGGCCTTTGCACAATTAAAACTTGTGCGCCCAGCTACACGTGTACCTTGAGACGCTAGACTAGCCGCGGTGATCTATGCCTTGGTTAGATCCTGGATAGATTACTACAATGCACTCTATGTGGGGTTGCCTCTGAAGACGGCTTGAAAAATACAACTTGTGCAAAGATCTCCAGCCAAACTACTAACAGGAGCTGATTACAGGGAGTACACTACTCCACTGCTAAAACAGCTCAACAAGTGGCCTATTTGTTTCTGGGATCAATTTAAAATGCAGGTCATAAGCTATAAAGCCCTACACGGTTCAAGTCCAGCTGATTTCCCCTTCATCCCCACTTATGAACCAGCTTGAGCCCTGAGGTCTGCAGAGGAGGCCCTCCTCTCAGTCCCACCCCCATCACAAGCACAGCTGGAGGGAACGAGGGAGAGGACCTTCTCGGTTGTAGCTCCCTGTCTCTGGAATGTCCTTCCCAAGGAAATTAGACTGGCTCCCCTCTTGTTGATTTTTAGAAAGCAACTTAAAACTTGGCCTTTGGAAGCAGACTTTTTGGAGATGATCAGTCTTAAACTGAGCTATTTTAACAAGATTGATGCTTTTAATGCTTTAATCTAGCATGAGCAGCACATTTTGATGTTATGTTGTGCTCTTATATGTTTTCAGTAATTGCAATGGTTCTATTTTAAATTATGTTAATTTGACCTACGTACTATTGTTTTTTGCATTTTTTAGCTGTTACTTGCTGTAAGTCGCCCTGAGTCTCTTCCAGGAGAGGGGGCGGGATATAAATAAAATTTCTTCTTCTTATTATTATTATTATTTTTATTACTATTGGGTTGCTGTGAGTTTTTCAGGTTGTATGACCATGTTCCAGAAGCATTCTCTTCTCATGTTTTTCCCACATCAATGGTAGGCATCCTCAGAGGTTGTGAAGTATATTGGAAACTAAGCAAGGGAGGTTTATATCCCCGTGGAAGGGCCAAGGTGGGAGAAAGAACTCTTGTCTGTTGGAGGCAAGTGTGAAGGTTGCAATTGGCCACCTTATAAAAGTCCAGAACCCATCTCTGGACACACCAACAGCTAAGAAGTTAATCCAGACAGGAGAGAAATCCACTAGTTCAACCAATCTGGATACAACCTATTCTGGATGGATTTCACGCCATTCAAGGGAGAAGATGGATGAACTTGGGAGTGCTTCTGAACCCAACATTGCTCCACAAGCATCAGGTGCTTGCTCTGCCCTGGCGTGTCTTTCCATAATTTCAGACATTGCTTTTCCGAGAGAAGGCATAATGAGTTGCAATGATTGATACCAATCCCCTTCTGTTAAGAGTACTGCATTGTATTCTATTTCGAGCAGCCATTGAAGAGCTTCTGGAAGCTGCAGCTGGTGTGAAATGTGGTCACCAAATTGCTTGTGAGAGCATCATTTATCGTCTTGTAAAACCTGTCTTAAATTAACTAAACTGTTTCCCAGCTGTTTCTGGACTCGGTTCAAGATTCTGCTGCTTACCTACACAGCCTTGAATGGTTTGGAATCAGGATATTGCAAAGGTTATCATCTCCTGTTTGAGCTGGCTCATAAATTACAAGCTCTTCAAAGGCACTGTTTTAAATTCCGCTGCCCAGAGAGATCAGTTGGATGGTCACGAGATACGCTGCCTCTTCCCTGATAACACCCATAGAAGGAAATCAGACACACTTTTGCCTAGATTTTAGTTAGATTTGCTCTTTATGGGTTTCACTGTTATCATTTGATTGAACCGAGATACAATTGTCTGTGGATACAACATATTTCTTGGAGGCCCTTTTGAACAGAGAATGATGTGTCAATATAATACAGGCAATAATAAATTAATGTTGCTCTTTCATTAGGCAGGAGGGAGTCAAAGTCATCTCCACTTTTTCCTTAGTTTCAGCTTGCCAATTAGTCAAGAGAGAAATTTTAATCTGTGATTAAAGTTTAGTTAATTAATCACCCCGATTAAAGCTCACAACCCTATCACGAAAGCAATTTTACTTCTTCTCAGAAGACAAATGTCCTAATTAGAAAGACTGAGCCCTTTCCCGCTCCCACAGGAATGCCGAGAAGAGGACGGGATGCTCACCTCAGCGCATTCACCTCCTCTCTGGCAACAAAGGCACTCGAATCCGTGGCGGGCACCTGGCTCCTCAGCATCTGCAGCTCTACCTCCAACTGCAAGGGAAGGAGAAGGCATGTTAGTTACCTCTTTTCCTGCTGTCTTTCCCACTGCCCACCCAAATAATAGGGCATTGGGTGCAGGCCCAAAATTAGTAAGAACATCAGCCCTGGCCTTGTCTGCAATACACCAGAGCAGGAACACCTCTGACCTCAAACACCACACCAGTTTGGTAAAATTAGCAAGCAGTTTATTGAAGACTATATGCATCAAAGCAGTAAAAATAGCAAAAACTGTAGAGATCCAATACAAGTAAAACAGTCCCAAAACTCCAAGGAAAATAAGATAAGAAGTACGTAAAAATCCATGGAACTGGGCACTTGAAACCATGAAAAAATCTCATAGACCAAACAGGAGCTTGGCAAGAACTTGGTACATGAAACTAAGAGCACCTGAAAACAAGACAATGATCAATTTCCAACGTTGACCCGAATGAGGCAACCCTTTCCCATGCATCCATATAAAGCTTTTCCAGGTTCCAAAACGGAAAGGAAAGCATTTCTCTTGACCTCGCTACTAGATAGCGGTTTGTTATCTTTTTTCAGCTGTAAGCGAATTGATTGTCTGAGTCTTTGCAGACTCTGTCTCTGTTTACAAAAGCTTTGCTTTCTGTCTAAGCTCTCATTATCAGCTCTCGCTGACCTCTCATTATTTTCTGCACCTGACAAATTATCTTCAGACAGTTGTTCTGAGAAAGGCTATGAAAGGCCCCTCTCACGAATGCAGCCTTGGGAATCTTCTTCTTCCTGAAACAACTCAGGCCTTTCATCTGAGCTCTCGTCTGCCAACCTAGTGGTTCGAAAGCATGTAAATGTGAGTGGCGCAGTGGGTTAAAGAGCTGAGCTGCTGAGCTTGTTGACTGAAAGGTTGCAGGTTTGATTCTGGGGAGCAGCATGAGCCGCTGTCAGCCCTAGCTTCTGCCAACCTAGTAGTTTGAAAACATGCAAATGTGAGTAGATCAATAGGTACCACTCCAGTGGGAAGGTAACGGTGCTCCATGCAGTCATGCCGGCCACATGACCTTGGAGGTGTCTACAGACAATACCTGTTCTTCGGCTTAGAAATGGAGATGAGCACCACACCCCAGAGTCAGACATGACTGGACTTAATGTCAGGGGAAAACCTTTACCTTTACCTATTGAATGAAAAGCTTATGACCAATGGAACTGTGATACTTTCCATTTTCAAAAGGCATTGAGCCTGAAAACCTAAGTAGCCACGATCTCCTAGTAGAAAATGCTTTCTTAACACTAACAGAAAGGGAAGGACATGCTCAGGTCATTCGAGCTTAATTTTTCTCCTTAGAGCCATTTTGAAGAATCGCAGCATCAGAACAGCACAGAGACTCAGCAATATAAGGAGTCACAGCTAAATCATTCCATAACTGTCTACAGAGGACCAAAGGCCTTCAAGCTGGTGTTGTTCTAAAATAAAAGGGTCTCCTCGTCAAGGGTAGGAGGGGTAAGCTAAACTGTATCATCCTATCCGTGCTGACAGTAAAGGTAGAGTCTCAAGCCACAGATTTCTTGCTTTTCATTGAAGTGTTCGCTCTTACAAACAAACAGGGACAAGGTGAGTTAACAATTCTGCCTGTTCTTTACTAAATCAGCTCCTCTCTCTGCATGAAAAAAGAAGGCTTCTCCCTCCACACAGTCTGATAAGTGGATATGTTTTAGACTAATCAAAGATCATATCCAGGTTTAGGGCACATGTATGAAAATGTGATGCAATCACCCAACGCTGTTCCCTCCTCCTGGTCAGCCTTCTCACCCTGCACCCATCTCTGCTAAGGCTGGGTTCCTTTCCTCCTTTTTTTTCTCGCCTTTGCCATCTGCCATCCTTTTGAAAAATACATGATAAAAATGCAGAGCTTTCTGTACACGTAGGAAAATAACAAGCAGGCAGTGCCCTAATTAGAGATGCAAACCCAAAAACACACACCGAAGTCTCCGTCTCCGGCACCAGGGGAGATAAGGCATTAGCATAGAGTATCCTTCAACAGCATTGACAAGGCCTGTATGGCATCCTAATTCTATCACAGTCAAAGGCATCCAACTGCAACCAGATGGCACCCAATACTGAGCCTCATTGGGGAGGGCAAGAAGGACAGGTGGAAAGAATCATAGAATCCTAGAGTTGGAAGAGACCTCATGGGCCATCCAGTCCAACCCCAATCTGCCAAGAAGCAGGAAAACTGTATTCAAAGCACCCCTGACAGATGGCCATCCAGCCTGTTTAAAAAGCCTCCACCACACTCCAGGGCAGAGAGTTTCACTGCTGAACAGCTCTCACAGTCAGGAAGTTCTTCCTAATGTTCAGCTGGAATCTCCTTTCTTGTAGTTCGAAGCCATTGCTCCATTGCGTCCTAGTCTCCAGGGCAGCAGAAAACAAGCTTGCTCCCTCCTCCCTATGACTTCCTCTTATATACTTATACATGGCTATCATGTCTCCTCTCAGCCTTCTCTTCTTCAGGCTAAACATGCCCAGCTCTTTCAGTTGCTCCTCATAGGGCTTGTTCTCCAGACCCTTGATCTTTTGAGTCACTTTCCTCCGGACACATTCCAGCTTGTCAACATCTCCCTTCAATTATGATGTCCAGAATTGGACACAGGGAGGCCCATTTACGGACAACTGAGAGCCACATCTCTGTGTACAAGCTAACAACAAACGAAGCCATCTTAACACACTGGAGGGTCACCAAAATACCCATGAAGGGCATTCATGAAACCACTGGGAGAGGTCATCCTGAGTTTTAGAATTCAGTGCCACCTATATGCAGATGCCAACCTAGCAGTTCGAAAACATGCAAATGTGAGTAGATCAATAGGTCCGGTGGGAAGGTAACAGCGCTCCATGCAGTCATGCCGGCCACATGACTTTGGAGGTGTCTACGGACAACGCTGGCTCTTCGGCTTAGAAATGGAGATGAGCACCACACCCCAGAGTCAGACATGACTGGACTTAATGTCAGGGGACTACCTTTACCTTTTACCTTTATATGCAGATGACACCCAATGCTACTACTCCTTTCCACCTAAGGTCAAGGAAGCTGTCCTGATCCTAAACCAGCACCTGTCATCAATAATGGACTGGACAAGGGCAAACACATTGAATTGTAATCCAGACAAGGCAGAAGTGCTCCTGGTCAGTCAAAAAGCAGACCAAGGAATAGGGGTCCGGCCTGTTGTTGTAGTTCAGCCCATGACTGTGCTTGATACTCAATGTGGATGTCGATCACGGAGATTTTTGGTCTGTGAGCCATGAAAACGAGCAGTCTGTGTTTCAAGCCAGTAGTCAAGGCCACATTCCAGAACGGTGCCGAGATGACGTTGCAAAGTTGTTCTCTGGTGAACAGAGTTCAGGGGATAAAATCCCAGGTGCCAAGACTAATGAGCTGCGAGATAATGAGATAGTTAATAGGAGACTTAGCTTTCGTAAACTTCGAGCTGAGCAGCCAAATCTTTGAAGGCCACAGCACCTAGTACTGAAGAGGGAGTTTTAGTTCCTTGTCTTGTTCCTGTTTCATGCTTCCAAGTTTGGAGGATTGTTCTTGGATTTTGTATTGTAGTATATACCGTTCTGAACTTTTGTTGTTCCTTGTTATCCTGTGCTGGATTGCCTGTGCTTTTGGGATCCGTGATTATTCTTGTACATTGAACCTTGTGGACTATATCATTTGTATGAACTTTGAAGTTTTTACTATCTTTGCTGAAGTGCTTTTTATACAACTTTCAATAAACTGATTTGCTGATTTAACTTGGACTGGAGTGTGGTGGTTAAATATAGAGGTGTTTCCTGCCCTGGAGTGCAACCACTATGGTGGATAGGGGGTGGGGGTCACACTCCCCCTGAAGACACAGGTTCACAATTTGTGGGTCCTCCTGGACTCGGCACTGAACCTGGAGGCCCTGGTGTCAGCGGTGGCCGGGACGATATTCTTTGCACAATTAAAACTTGTGAGCCGGTTCCTTAAGAAACCAGATGTGGTCATGGTGGTCCATGCTTTAGTTACATACTGTAAGACGCTCTATGCGGGGCTGCCTCTGAAGATGGGGTATAAAATAAAGTTGTTGTTGTTGTTGTTGCTGTTGTTGTTGTTTGAAACACATCAAGATGAGTCCACAGCATAAAGATCACTCTGCTTGCTGTTGTATTGGATCACACGTCGGAGGACACTTCCCAAGTGTCTAGGACTGTGTGATGTATCAGCGAATGATGCATGCAGCTCCCAGTAAGGTGGTCATTTGCAACTGACAGATGGTAATTTTGTCAACGCCGATTGTGTTTAAGTGCAGGCCAAGGTGTTTAGGCACTGCACTCAGTGTGCCGATCACCACTGGCTTGTATCAAAGTCTTTGCAATTATTATTATTTGAAACACAACAAGATGAGTCCATAGTAGACACTGCTTGCTGTTGTATTGGATCACACATTGGACACTTCCCAGCGTCGATTGTGTTTAAGTGCAGGCCAAGGTCTTTAGTACGCCGATCACCACTGGGACCATCTTTACTGGCTTGTGCCAGAGTCTTTGCAGTTCAATCTTTAAATCCTCATATCGTGTCAGCAATTATTATTATTATTATTATTATTATTATTATTATTATTATTATTATTATTATTATTAGACTCCTCAGAAACTTCAGCTGGTCCAAAGAGCTGCAGCCAGGTTCTCAGTAGACCTAGCTTCAAGAAGCTGGCATCCCTGTTGCAGCAGTCACACTGGCTGCCAATCTGTTACCGGGCACAATTCTGGTGATGACCATTAAAGCCTTAGACAGTTCAGGTCCAGGCTATTTGGCTGACCGCATCTCCTTGTACAAACCTGCATTCCAGGCCTTGAAATCCCCTTCAGGAGAGGCCCGTCTCTCGGTCCCACCTCCATCTCAAGCTAAATGGGTGGGAACGAGGGAGTGGGCCTTCCTTCTCAGTGGCTGCCCCTCAACTCTGGAACCCCCTGCCCAGAGAAGACAGAACGGTTCCCTTCCTGATGTCCT